GCCAGTCTTAATTTGTTTAGCTAGAAGCATTTGCCGAAAAAACCGGTGCCGGTAGCAGCAAAACTGTGGGGAACCATGTAAAAAACGCATCCTCGCACGAGCAGCCCGTGCGTTGGCCAATTATCTTTTTTCCAGGTACCCTGTCCTGCATCAATTGTTAATTGACTTTCTAATAGGTTACGAGCCTTTCAGCAGATAATGATCACTCTTTCACCAACTACTCAGTGAAGATAGTTAAAATAGAGCAAGGCTGTAACAATTTGTTCCAGGCTGTCAGTTCCAAATACAGTTTTCCAACATCTGTCACAAAAACGTTATTTCCCCTTTTTGGCCGTTAGCACCTATGAAATTTATCAAGGTTTTTTTTTTTTTTCATTGTGTTGGGATTGGATGGGCGTAGAGAATGCCCAAAATTTAGCCGCTTAGCTGAAAAGACACGTTATGAACCGCAATTGATAAAAATACGCGTATTGGATATTCTAACTGCTTTGGAAAACAGACAAGGACCTTTTGAAAAAACTTTTGTTGACGATAAAGCGTGATTACAGGAATCGCACAAAATAGCTGGAAAAACACTGAATTCACAAGAATGCCACATTCTCCAGTAGAAAACGAAAATATGATATAAAATATCAGAAATAAAAAAACAACATATTCTGGCGTTATGACTCCATTACTTCAGAAAAATGAGAATAATACAGTTTTTAATGAAAAAAGGAGTTAGATAGTTTTCTGGATTCATGAATGTTGCGATTCCACAACGCCAAACTCAATCGAAACTCAGCGATATCACTCAGATTCCGTGGATATTCTTTTTGTGTGCTTTCATGCTAGACTTTGTCATGAAGCACCTACGACAAACTGAGCACTGGAAGCGCCATCTGATACTGTCACATAGCTTTGTTCGAAAACCACGTCGCAACAACAACATTTCTTTGGTTGCCTTATATGTGCAGGGACATCCTCAGAAGACTGGATTGCTTGACCACCGTGTTGCATAAATGGCATGGGTATTTGGTCGCTGTGCGACAGACGAAGCCTGGATTCTTGACCGCTGTGCTGCGCAGCAAGCCGAAACCCCTCGTCGAATTGCGGATGAGAAGGTGAGGACATTTGGCTGACATGCTGTGAAGGGTACCATAATGCCTGGCCGCGCTCTCCGTCGTTTGTTGCTGCATGGGCGAACTGGGCACGACTGCTGAAAACATTTCATTCACTGAACACTGCTTTCTGTCTTAAATAAGCTTTCTGGGGTTTTAAAGAAGGCTCCGCTACTCAGCGTTTGTTGAATTCTTCAAGTTCATAAGCTTAATAATGGGGAATTTCTAGCATGCCCGTACACAGATGCGCTGCTTCGTGGAAATTCGGGAAAAGTTTGAAATTCGTTACTGTACTTCCCTGCATTTTATTTAAAGGCAACCAAAGTGATAAAACACCGCGTTTACCAGTACGATCATGAGTTTTTGTGCTAAACTTGGAGCAGTCAGATCATTAACAGTATGAATGGTTGCTGCGTTACAGTTTAACACGTTGAATCATGTTAGTGCCATTAATGCGCGCAAATACAACTGGATGGATGAAACAGTTTGATTAATTTATATATTGAACATCCCTGGAAAAGACAAGGATGTGCTCTAGATTCCCACATTCAGGATAAATCGTCATACATAAGAAATTGTGTTGACAAATTCCCAAACATTTCTAAGCTGTCCTTCCACATTATTTTCAAAAAAGGGGAACAATTCGTAACTTTGTAGAAACCATCATAAAGTTTCCGAAATGAATAAAAAAAGTCGTTCAGTTCAGTTGTTTTTATCGGCAAGAACTTGACCGAAAAACATGCTGCTGTTATTTGCGGCATTTATTTAGTGTGATTATTTTGCTCCGTTACTCTTCTCATCCTCTTGTCCTGCACATTAGTCGTATATTCATTCAACTTAGGTTGCGAGCTGCTGTTTTCCACTTCTACCCGCATACAGGATTTTTTCTATGCCCACGGTTACGGGAATGAAATACGGACCACTTTCTCGTATTAAATGAAGCTCAAAAGCCTTTTAATAGTCTAGAAAATTTGCTAGAAAATTACTTTGTTGATTCAGTTTCCTCCGTTCCAGCCAAATATCGCGCAATAGATTCGCTTGGCTGCCAATTTAACATTCTGAGCTGATTCATTTCAACCCATGGTGCTGAAGGCCAGTAATCCAACGCTCCACATCTCATCGAAAGTCCTCTTACCTCACGCTCTCTGTTGCCTGGTGATGACTGTCTGCTCAGATCTTCAGGTTCCACTTGTTCCGGCCCCGCTGGTATGGTCAAATATGCAAACGGCTGAAAATTTTTATCCTTTTCAGAAAATAAGACTTTTCAGAAAATTGAGGAGGATTATTCCAGCGTTCTGAAACAGCACGTTGCAAATCATTTTCTTAATTTTTGCGTAAGCCGCCTCGTGATTAAAACTACTCAGTATTTGAAACGACTACTACTTCATCACTGATGAATCAACCATGCCATTTCCTTCAAAATTCATTCCACGATTCGTTTTGACCAGCGCTGAGTCGCCAGTAATCAAAGCAGTCAACGTAAATTTTATCAAAATTGGGAAGATTGTCAGCAGGCTAATCATCAGATTTCGC